CCCCCATCATGCAGACGGTGCACGTCCTCCACCAGATCCCGGCTGTCGCCATGGCAACTGTCGGCGGACAGTCCGCTGCCATGGTGAGACCCGGACCTCAGGAGAACGGAGGCGGAGAGCACCGAGAGATCAAGCGTGAGTTCCTGGTAGCAGTTCACTCGTAGCAGTTCTGCTGCGAAGGAAGTGTGGCAGCCACCTGCTGTCGCAAAGCATGCTGTTTTAGACTGCATGTGTGAACTGAGTTTAATATGATTTTTTTTCTCTCTGCTCGTAGTCAAAGTGGGGTCGATCCCATCCATCACAGCCTCGTCGATAGGCGGAGTCAGCCGCATCATCCAGAGCTCTCAGGCTGCGCCTCTGACGACGGTAACCATCGTGCAACAAGCCCCGCTCGGCCAGCACCAGCTCCCGATAAAGGCCATCACGCAAAACGGGACCCATCTGATCCCCATCAGTGCTGCTGCTAGCACAGGTGACACACACACACACACACACACACACACACACACACACAGCAACTAAGACATCCAATCCCTCTTCTTCATTACGTTACTGTGCTTAACCCACACCAATTATCGATTAGAGGAATAGCATGAAAACCGATTTGCAAGAGAAGTGAGCTGGGACAGACGGCAATATGAAACCCCCCCCGATTGCACTGAAAGCTGTAGCGTACGGTGTCCCGCCATGTCGGGCTGAGTGTCTTTATCCTGCACTCGCACGTAAATTGACACGTAGCAGCTCCTGCATGGTCGTTTTTGTGATGTGTATATCTGCTGAAGGATGTTTTCATCCTTGACCCACGTGAGAAGGATCATATGAAAAAAGTATTGTGTACGGTACATAGCAAGGGTAAAGTATGAGCATTATGTCATAAAAACACAAGAGGTCAAAGATCACTATGTAAGCATAGCTATAAGACGAGTGCATGTAGTTCGTCTCTGCCGATTCAAAGTGGTCGTAATAACTCCTTTCTTTCTTCTTTCTACCAGCCGTTGCAAACCCTCTTCACCTCCTGGCGGCCCACGCCTCAGCCTCGGCGTCCCTCCCTACCAAGAGGCAGAACGGAGAACTGCAAGGCCAACCCCAATCAAAGAGGGTGAAAACACAGGAGGAAGAGGAGGGTGGAGCAGCCGCCAACAACAACAACAACAACAACAACAACAACAAAAACGGCACTACGGACAGAGCCGGAGAAGCGGGGGTCAGTGAACAGATCGGTGACAAGTAGCCTCCCCACACACACACACACACACACACACACACACACACACACACACACGCCGGTCTGCATCCTGACCCCTTGCTCTCCTGTACGCATTTAGCCTCACACCTCCCACTCTCACCCTTCCATCATCAACTCCAAGGTGCCAAAAAAACAAAACTAGACGAGACTCGGAAACACCCGCAGAACTACAGAATGACCCGCCCCCAAAATCGTCCTCCATATATTTAGCACCATGAAATACAGTACGATGCAAAAACTGAAACCAAATTTGAAATTCAAAGAGTTGCCGATGACGCTCGAGACCCAGACGGCAAGAAGAAGCACAGGCAGACATTTTCACAAATCCAAGATTTCCAGATCAAAAAAAAAAATGAATGGAAAAGAAAAAGAGACTTTTATTGGACAAGTGAGGAGTCCTGAAACTCCCCCCCCCAAGACGGAAAGGAGCCTCATCCTGGTAGCATTACAAACAAGTGCTTTACTGTTTGTCGGATAGAGAAAGCGACAGAGCGGAGTCACCAGTAGTGTATTCTGCTAAAGGGAAGGAAGCGTGTGTAACGTGCGTGTGGACGTTCCCGTCTCCGGCAGCTAGCCTCCATGTTGACCTACCTAACCCAGTCGTGAGTAGATATGCAGTATTCCGTTGTACACGTGTATCTTTGGATCTTTTGAGTGTTTCTCCATTTCCCAAGGCACAGATACTATCTAGTAATAATTAACTAAAAGCTATAAGTGGGGTCTTTAAGAACATTTAAACATCACAACATGATATTTTGGAATCTTTTTTTTTTTTTTTTTTTTGATATATGTGGACTCTTTGTTCAGTGAAATGAATGTAGTAAAGAAAACACTATCTATGGAGTGGATGTTCTTTTTTTTTTTCTGCTGATTCATGCAAATGAAATTTCTTAATCACTGTACATCTACAGATATTTTTTTTTCAGATTTTACAAATATCCTATGAGATAAAGTATATTCCCATGCGTATTTGACCATGTGCTTCATCAAGCTTGCATGTTACGGATCTAGAGACAATGTACTTGAGCAGATTATTTGAATATGGAACTGAAGAAAATTGACTGAATCTACGTTATATGATTCTGACCAGTGCTGCACTTAACCCTCTTAGTTTTTTGTTTTTTTGTACTCTGATTTTGCTGTTTTTTTCAACCCCTGTCATCATGGGCTGTGTTTGTTACATTTTGTGTTGAAGTCGGCAACTCTTTGCTTGATTATTTGACTCTGTTCAGGCTACCAAACAAGCCTGTTCAGAATGTTTTCTATGTTACAAAAGGAAAAACAAGCGATAGGTGTTCGTTCTGCTTCAGTGGGTGTTTTTTTTTTTTTTATTTTTTTTTTTTTTTTATATATATATATAAATTTATTTAAAACACAACTTTTTAGTTTGTATTTCTTTGAGTAAAAGTATTTTTCTGCTGGGCAAATGCAAACGTACAATCTGTCTGTTTGAAGAGTTATTTGTTTTTGTCAGAACGTGGAAAGAGATCAGACTTATTAAAGGTACAGTGTGAGATTTAGCGCCATCGAGTGGTGAGGTTGGAGATTGCAAGCAACCACGTACCCTCCACTCGCCCCTCTTTCCAAGCGTGTCTGAGACCTACGGTGGTCCTCAGGTAGGGATAGGTATCGTTAGGTGTTTATTACTACAAGGAGCTACTCTTATCAATAATCTTCATGATTAAATAATACCTTTTAAAAAACACATCGATTCAGAACAGACAGGATTAGAAGATATTTATAATTTAGATATAACTAATTGTTTCTACAGCAGAAACGGAAGTGTTTACAACAGCAACGTCACTATATAAAGCCATTAAGTGAATAAATGATGTTAATCAATAATTAACACATATCAGATGGTATCAGTCATTCCTCCTGGCACAGAAGTTTACAAGATCTAACTGAGATAATCGGACGGGAGAAGGACCGCTTCTGTTACAGCTTGTTTGTAAAAAGACAGAAGAAAAGGCCGATCTTTCCTGCTGTGTTTTTGTAAACATAGCGGCGGTGGACGGCAGACTGTGGAAGACGCCGATCGGATTAAGTTTCACTTTCGTTTACATGTTCATGCTAGTTGAACAACAGTTGAGTATTGATAAAGTATCTGCTTTTTACTCGCAAACTGTTCTATTGCACGTACAGTGACCAGCGTAGTTGTCAACTCGAGTAATCTTCACTTCACCTGGTTCACTGAACTGTCTCCACGGAGGCCGTGTGTGCGCGTGTGTGTGTGTGTGTGTGTGGTGTGACATGGTGGACTCAGTGGAAAAGGGTGCAGGGCCGAGATCCTTCTTGTGGCACTGGCACCTCTGTGGCACTCCGCGGCAGTCTGTGGCACTTCAGCGGCAAGCGGCAGCTGTGGCAGGCGAGCGGTACTAGTTCGGCACCCGTCAAGAAGCTGCTGAGCTGAGGGGGCGGAGCCACATTTCCTGAGAACACACATTGTTGATACAACAGGTCAGCTTCCGTAAATCAGTTTTATGATTTTAGTTGAGTCACCGGAGCCACCCGTTCTCTGTATGCATCCTTAGAGTAATTACGTTGTACTTTTTTGTTTCTCATTCATTTTATTTAAGTATGATTTTGCTGGTTTTGCAACAAAAGGGAACATAATACACTTTCCAAATTATTACTTTTACAGTCATTTACAATAATCGGCTAAAATAATGAAAATAAATCATCCGTTTTATTATCATTTAAAAGTATATATATAAAAAAAAAAAAATTTAAATTAAAACCCATAAAATGTCCAATCCAAAAATATGTCTGAAAATATCTTCACTCTTCCTCTGCTTATACTGTATGTATATGTATGTCAGTAGGTGCCACAAGCTGCCAGAGGGTGTGCCAGAGAGTGGAAAGTGTATTATGTTGCCTTTTGTTGCAAAACCAGCAAAATCATACTTAAATAAAATGAGTGAGAAACAAAAAAGTACAACGTAATTACTCTAAGGATGCATACAGAGAACGGGTGGCTCCGGTGACTCAACTAAAACCATAAAACTGATTTACGGAAGCTGACCTGTTGTATCAACAATGTGTGTTCTCAGGAAATGTGGCTCCGCCCCCTCAGCTCAGCAGCTTCTTGACGGGTGCCGAACTAGTACCGCTCGCCTGCCACAGCTGCCGCTTGCCGCGGAGTGCCACAGAGGTGCCAGTGCCACAAGAAGGATCTCGCTGTCTCTCGGAAAAGGACCCTGAGCTAACGAAAACAACCATTCCTAGTTTCAGGTCATTATACACTGATTAAAACAGTTATGTTATAAATACAGATAATAATAAATATATATAATAAATATTACATTCTTCCTTTAAAGATAGACTAACAATAAAATGAAGTAAGAGTATGGAACATTACTGGATGAGATTAAGATGTTGAGGACTTTGCTAGTGACGGCTGAACCATTCCTCAGATATTAGAGGATGCTATTGTACCCATGTATGAAGAAAACATCCTCACTGGTGAAATACGGAAACGACTCATTTGGTAAACGGTGTTGGACAAGTTACTTGAAAAGTGAAAACATTCACTCACAATAATCCCACCTCACTTATTGAAAAAGTAACATAACTATGTACAGTTAGTCACATTACTCCTTACAACTGTATCTATGGCGCCTTTTAAACAACTCTGAACAAAACCAGGTGTGTCCTGAATGTAGTTTAACCAGTTTAGTGCGAGCGTGCCCCAGTGATGGAGGCGATAGATATGCTCAGCACCTTTTACAATGATACAAATGTGAAGACAAACAATAGTAATAACCACTATTTATTTAAAGGCACATTAGAGCTCACTTACAGACATTTTATTGATCCTGTGAGAGATTTGAATTACTAATCAAAGAAAACACTTTTTTGGGGTTTTAAAAAAAATCAATAGATTTAATGAAACTTCTTTGCGTGAGCTTTTACAAGCTCTGGCCGACTGAATGCCATTTCACAGGCTGAACATTTATGGGGTTTCTCTCCCGTATGTATCATTTGGTGTCTCTTCAGAATACCCCCGCTATTAAAACGTTTGTCACATGTCGGGCATTTGTACGGCTTTTCCCCCGTGTGCATCCTCATGTGTGCAGTGAGGTAATAGGACTGCACAAACCCCTTGCCACATTCTTGACATTTGAACGGCCTCTCCCCGGTGTGGTAGCGAGTGTGTATCTTCAGCTCCGACACCGACCTGAAACTCTTGCTGCACTCGACGCACGAGTACGGCCGCTCCTCCTTGTGGGTCAGGTCGTGTCTCGTCAACGAACTCGCACTTCGGAACAGTTTGCCGCAGCGGGAGCAAGGGTAGCGCACGCCGGTGTGTAGTTTCGCCACGTGGAGGTCCAGGCTCCTCTTGAGCACGTAGGCTTGTCCGCAGTGCTCACAGCAGAAGCGCTTCTCCGTGGTGCCGCCGTGACAACACAGCCTGTGCCTCTTCAGAGCGGCGTTGGACCTGCTGCCTTTCCCGCAATCCCAGCAGAGGAACGGAGCCTCTTTTGTGTGAGTCCGGTCGTGCAGCGTCAGAGCGGACGCGTAACCGAACGCTTTCAGACACTTGGGGCACTTGAAAGGGAGATCGCCCGTGTGGAACCTCTCGTGCCTGATCAGACCTCTCAAAGCCGTGTACGTTCGTTCACACGAGGTGCAGGGAAAAGGTCCTCTAAAGTCGTGCACGTCGACATAATGCTGGTTGAGGTCTATGAAACCTTTGAAATTCTCACCGCACTTAGTGCACGAACGAGACTTGTGTCTCAGATTATGCATTTTAAGTCTCGCCTTGTCTGGGAAAGACCTGTTGCATTCCACACAATACAGTGAGGTATCGGTGGGTTTGTGTGTATTTCTCGAGTTGAAACCCTTTGACTTCCTGCCTCTCTGATTACCCCGAGGAGGTTCCTGACTCTGCTCCTTCATGTCTCCTAACTGGACTTTGCTGCTGAATGATTTGGTATTTTGCTGGGTGGGAACAGGCACTCCCTCTCCTGAAGGAGCCCCCACTTGTTTCAGATTTATCCCGACTTCCGTAGGCAGAGTTCGGAGTTGGCTGCGAACTTCGCCTGGCTTTGGGTCTTGAGCGTCTTTTTCTTCGTGCGTTTCAGAGGGCGAGTTCTGAGGCCGTGGCAGAGCGATTCGACATACATTTAACTCGTGCACCTTAAGGTCGTGCTTGAACTGAAAGCGTTTCTCACACCGCGAGCATCGGAAAGGCCGATCTCCGGTGTGGGTCCTCTGATGTCGTCTCATATCTGACGCGCGACTGTACGTCTTACCGCATAAGGGACAAGTCTTGCTGGTTGACGGGACTCGAGGATTTCTCTTTGGCAGCTCATTTTTGGTTGTTGTTGAAATGTTTTTCACCTTTAGACCTCGGTATTCTCTGACAGGCCTCTGGGATGTGACCACAGCAGGTGCACACAGTACAGGCGACGGCACTACATTAGATATGTTGTTTTGCACTTTGCTGGAAGTTTCTTCTTTCGTGCAGTTTTCTGTCTCACTAGGGCTCATGACATTGTGCTCACTGTCATCTGTAGTTCTAACCAATGCCTGAACCTTTTCGTCCTCTCTAATATCGACCACGGAGTCTTCAGCAGAGGGCTTATTCTCTGTGGTAACAGGTTTCTCAGCAAGGATTTCAACATTGTAACCTGCTTGGATCTCAACGGCACAGGAGTCTACACTCGTCTTATCCCCGTCCAAAGAGTTGAGATGTTGAACAGAGCGGGAGATCTCGTCCTCTACTCCTGCTCCACCGCTAACCATGGACTGATTCTCCAAGCCTCCGGTCTCTCTGCTCTCTGGTCCGTCGCTCTCCGTCTTTACGTCAGCTGCACTTTTTCTCAGTGTAGTGGTCTCCACTATCAGTTCTTTGTTGAATGCTTCCATGTAATCGGTTAACACATTTACTTCTAGTGGCCTTTCTTCTTGTTCGGTCACGGCTGTTGTCAAAGGTGGCAGACAGAGTGCTGAACAAATGCTGGCACCAACTGTTTGATTATCTGAAAATATGAAATACACAGTTACCACTAGATAAACTGCTGAGTGCCTTATATATCAGCTCTACCGTGAATGTTATACCGCCATTATGTCAGTTTTACATCCAAACTACACTGCATGCTTACCACTTTCATTTAGCTGAGCGAGGTCTTTTTGATATTCCAGGAGAGACTTAAGTTCCTGAGATTGACAGAAAGACTGCAGACATTCAGACAGAACCGCAGGCACGTCGCTGAGCATACAGGCAACCTGCTCATGAGAAAGATCACATCAATTGAATTGTTAAACATTGTGGTGGAAAATGCTCAGTTGCTTTCTTTCCAAGAATGAGATGTAGTTTACAATTTACAATGTATTCATTTGTGAGCTCCATAGGTAGAGGTATTTCTCTACTTTGGACCAGGTCTGAAAAATGAAGCCAATGCTGAAGTACCCTAAACTTGCATTCTCTCTACTGACCAGCAGGGGGCGACTCCTCTGGTTGCAAAAAGAAGTCAGATTGTATAGAAGTCTATGAGAAAATGACTCTACTTCTCTCTTGATTTATTACCTCAGTAAACATTGTAAACATGAGTTTATGGTCTCAATCTCTAGTTTTAAGTCTTCTTCAACACAGCATGATGTTCATTTAGTAAATTATGGTCCATTTAGAGTCAAATGGACCATAAAGCAGAGTATGCTTTAGGGCAGGGCTACCTTGTGATTGACACATCGCTACTACGGTGTTGTCTTGGAACTTTAACCCTTTCACAGTGTTTTCAGTTCTCTAAAAAGATAATCGAAATATTTTGGCGGCCTAAAATGTCATTGTTTGGTTGTACTTAACTCCACCCTCTAGGGTCACTTCAAGATGGAAAAAACTAAGCTGGCGACGGCCAGAAAACCAAACTCGAGGCTTCAAAACTGTAGTCGGCAAACAAACGGGTGATTTCACGGTGACTATGTCCACTTCTTCCATACAGCCTATGGTTTGGAAAGCGGTTTCCCCATTTCCATTCTTTGCGCTAAGCTAGACTAATCATGTTCTGACTCCAGCTTCATACTTAACGCACTGACTTGCGGTTGATATAAATCTACTTATGTCACTTGGAAAGAAAGCAAATAAGCGTATTTCCCAAAATTCTGAAATATTCTTTTACTTTGAAATGCCGTAAATGTCTTTACAGCACAGTGTATGCTGTGTATACCTGTTTATGATTTGGTACAGTAAGTAACTTGTCAAGCTGCGAGAGGAATATCTCCACAAACATCTGTATATCTTCAGAATACTGGTCTCCAAATCTCACCGGGAAAACGTCCTAAAATTGAGCGAGTGACATTGATTAACAGTCAGGATGAAAATATCTCAAAATCACACAACCGGAGACACGTACCTGGAAGAAGTGCTGCCTCTCCTGCTGGTCTTTAAGCAGGGTGTGAATGAGCCCAAGGAGGCCCGGTGCAGTCGACCCATCTCCTGAATCTCTTATCTATGATAAAGGGCAAAAGTCAGCAAGTTCTGGTTGTCATTTAAGAGAAGAGAATAGAAACCACAAAACGTGTGAAATACAGACAAATGTACCTCTGAGTTCCACAGTGAAGTGATTATGTCCAGGTGTGGCTGAATGGTCTTAATGTCTATTGTCTGCTCTGGGCGACACAACTCCAGTGTCAGCTAAAACCAAGACAAAATTGACAAATGTTTTAAACTTCAGCCGTATGTGACGAGCAAACACGTATGAGTTGTCGTGTGTCTCTAAACAGCAAATAAGTTGCAAAAGGAAACTCAATATCGCAACATATTGGCTTCCTCACACGGTACCTGAGCCCGGAGGCCAAGGCTCAGCAAACACCTCTGTCTGGGATTAAGAAGCTCTGGGACGATCTCAGTGACTGCTGTCACAAAGTCGTCCAGCAGCCCGTAATTGGCCACAACTTTCTGCTGGACAGTCTCCCAGATAGCTGCAGAGACCAGCCGGAGCGGTGGGACCAGGAGACGCAGACAGGACAAGGGCAGAGGGGCAGCTGGATAACGAGAGAATAATGAGTTGTTTAAAAAGCAGTACAGACAGAAAATATTGTGGTAATTCAGGAAAAACAAGCTGTAATAAATGAGCATGTAGAATAGATGAATGATATTAAAAAAATTAAAATAAAATAGTTGGAGGGTGAAGAAGGTATTTCTTCGGCAAATCATGTGATGCACAATAGGCCTATTATTCATAATTGTTATATTTCGATGCCCCATTTGTAGAGCAGGATTTGGTCATTTTTCTTAAAGTTTTGGTCTGTTAATTGGAAACGTTTCAACACACTGCTTGTTACGGTCCTCACCGTTATACTTTAATGGAAGAAAATGATCGAAATGACAAGTGAACCGAATACGAAAGCTAAACATCTCTCGCGACGGGTCTTGTTCAACGCATGCCATGCGTGCCGAATTGTAGAGTAGATTCAGACACGGTCCTTGAATTCCATTTCAAGGGCAATGTCCGTCTGGGGGAACAAAAACGCGAATGTCGTCTTAATTTGACGGATTCAGAACGGAGTTCTGTGTCATGTTTGAATAAGAGAGGCACGACGGGCGACGTTTGTGAAACGTTCAACCGTAATACTGTCCCGCAACAGTCCTGCGCAACACAAAAAAACAAAGCTAATAGCAAGAATTAACTCACACAATAAACCCTGGAAGAAAGATAATGCAACATATATAGCTAATGCTCACTTTTTTGTTGACACGTTAAATTACGTTCATCGAAGAAACAAACATTAAAAAAAAAAACTGTTTTTCAGCGGGATATTTAAGGAACGAGGCCACGGCGATGATGTCACACGCGATAAATATATATATAAATATATGTATATTTTTGCGAAACATGACTGCTACCTGTCTTCTCTGACACGTGGTGCATAATTCGGCTTCACCGGTTACGTTCTCCTCTCAGAAATGGCAACAAACCATGGCGTTAAGCAGTTAAAGACAAACAGAGTGAGCATTTAGATGAATCCGGGGACACATTTAGCGGTAACTCAGGAAGTGCAGACTATGCGGAAGTGGATGTCTGTTGACATACTGGGCAGAGACCGCACAGGTGAAAGACTATCTGTGTAACCTGCGAGAAATAACAATAGAACAGTGGGATTACAAGGCTAAGATGGCGAGTATATAGCAGCAGGTTTTCTTAAAAACCACCGCACCCCCAGGTTTGTTTGTTTGTTGTCTTGGAATTGGAGACATGCCCTGGCGTGTTGGTTTACAATTGGCTGCCATTACCACCTTTATCATCATCTAATATTGAGTACGTCTCAGTGCTAATCCACCGGCCAGTCCGTTCACGTCTTCGAGACTGCAGCCGCTTGTCTGTCCGCTTTCCTACTCAGGGTTGTTGTCCGTTATGTGTCATCTACAGCTGAGGACACTGGTTTTTGTAGCGTGGCTGCTGGGTTACGTCGCCTTCCTGGTCTCCATCAGGAAGATGTGGACGGGGAAATACGTCCGTAGCCCACTCGCCCGCTCGCTGTTTATGAACATGGCGAGCGAGAACGAAGCGTCCGCGGTTGAGACGCAAGAGGTAGGAATTCTTCTTAATCCCGTCCGGTAGGTGAATTTGGAGGATCCGGATTGCTGCCCGTTTTGATAGACCAACGAGGGTCAATTCACGTAACAAGGCCAGACTCGTGTATGTGCACCGTTTGCCATTGGCAAGCTACAGAGGTTGGACTTGTTACATTTTTAAATTTGGCACAAGGCTGTCCAAAGAAGAGGGTTGATCTTTCCGCCGTTTTTTAACAGTTACTTACATTATTTTATTGTCAGTGCCCTCAAGTAAGTGTGCTGATCTGTTGTTTTATGTTTTATTCTTTGCACATTCCAGTCTCACATTTTAGTTTTTAGCAATTAAACTCATGCAAGCATGAATCCTGGATGAATTAATGGGTGGATTCTGTGTCAGAGTTGTCTATTGAAACACCAATAAGGTACACTGGATGCTGTACTTCAAAATAAGATGACATGTCATTAAATGGTACTCACAAAATCTCAGCGGGAGAGAGTGCCAAACACCAACAGAGGAGCATCTGCACGCTGGATTTCGAGCTCCCTCCAGGCTTTTTATTTGCAACGATGATAAACATTGACGTGAAAATGTGATGTTCAATCGCACAAAACACAAAAGGATCCAATAAAAGTAACATATGTTATAAGAAGGTTTGATCCATGTTTAAACCATGGAGGTGGAAGTAGATTGCTGCTGTAAATGCTTCCTCAGTTTGACTTAACTTAGTATTCTTCTTCTCCCTGCTGCTCTAGTGGTACCGGTGCGGACCTGAGCTGCTCGGAGATTCAGTGCGACCCCTCTTTGTCCAGAGCCACCTGGACTCGGGCACCAAGGCTTTTCTCAAGGAGAGCGTGGAGAAGTCTGGCTGGCTGTTCACCCAGCTCTATCACTCGTTCGTATCAACGGTCCTTGGCCCACTGGTCTCTCGCACCTCTATTAACGGGTGAGCGGCACAGACGCACCTATGTCTCCGTTTTACCCCCCCCCCCCGTAGTGCAACCGTCCTCTGATGCCGCTCTCCATCTCTCCAGGTTTCTGGGTCGTGGCTCTATGTTTGTGTTTTCCACGGAGCAGTTCCAGCGGCTGCTCCGTATCGACCCGGAGTGGAGGGCCGACAGGCTCCTGGATCTCGGAGCCGGGGACGGGGGTGTCACAGAGGTGATGGGTGCCCATTTCAGAGAGGTCTACGTAACCGAGGTTTCGCCGCCCATGAAATGGCATCTCCAGAGGAGGAATTACAAGTGAGCAGTAGACCACCCCGACTCACATCTCATTTCAGTTTGATAAACATCCCACAACACGGATCCCATCAGTACAACAGATCATATGTCTGACTCACCTATCTGTTGCTCTGAGCTTCAAGTCGCTTCCACTTTTCTGGTTTATTTTTGAGTTTGTTGTTAAGCTACCATTAATGAAACTCAACCTTCACTACACAAATGCATCAATAATGAATTAGAAAATGAAAGTCAGCATTTTTGACTGCTAAAACTATAATTTCCTTGAAGCATTAAAAGCAATTTGTTACCATCTGAAAACAGGTTGTTCTTTCTTTCTGTCGTGCTTAGACTGCTGGGCATCGACGAGTGGCAGCAGACTGATTTCCAGTACGATGTGATCAGCTGTCTGAACCTGCTAGACCGCTGTGACGATCCTCTGCATCTCCTGCGGGACATTAAGCTGTCGCTGGTTCCCAACACGGGGAGGCTCATCCTGGCTGCAGTGCTCCCCTTCCAGCCCTATGTGGAAATCGGTCAGTCAGGAATCAACTTGCCTCATTATGCTTATGATTTTCATAGACCTCCCTCTATGAAGCAAATAAAAACCATTCTATCTGTATTTGTTCTTAGGAGGAAAATGGCAGCGTCCCAAAGAACACGTTAAAGTAAAAGGAAAAACGTGGGAGGAGCAAGTGACCAACCTGTCCAATGAGGTTTTCCGGAGGGCGGGGTTCGAGGTGGAGGCCGTGACCCGCTTGCCGTACCTCTGTGAAGGGGACATGTATAACGATTACTACGTTCTAGACGATGCCGTTTTTGTTCTCAAGGCCTCAGAGGAGAGGTCAGAGTCTGCCTGAATACCAAATGCAACGTGGAACTGTGGGAGACCCCGCCAACGCTCCTGGATGGATTTTGGTGCAATTTTCGTACGCTTCATTCATAAAACACAGTATTTCTGATGGTATTTCTTTAGAAATGGTGAGGCAGCTGTGAAGCTCAGGTACTGTAGTTCCTACATTTACCAGCCATGTAGTGTGACAGTGATACCTCTACTTTTTAAATAAACTAACTAACTGAACGACAGTTAGCCTGTATTAAAATGCCACTGAAGATCAAGTCTTCTCAGACATGTCACTATGCTGTAGGTGTTCGGTTATCCATGAAAATGTTAACGCTTATTGTTTCATCATTGTGGAATGAAAATAATCCTCGGTGAATATTTCAGTTTGTGATGAAGAGGATCAGTATATGCACACACTTGATTTAAACATTGTATTACATTACAGTAAATAACAGTAAAATGATGGCGACCACAGCTGCTAGTAGTTTACTGTAATTAAACAGGGATTTTTACATTTTTACAGTGATTTCCTCTGTTATGTTGGCACTGCTGCTGGGAACTTGGGGCGTCGGGAGAACGGACATTGCTACGGGATGGGGTCATTATCGAACCCCTCCTCACTTGAACAGAAAGGTTACACAACTGAGTCGTTAATTACACTACTACTACAATGCTGCCACTACACAACGTAATGTTAATGTTGTCAGATGTCCCCACATTTGACCTATTGTTAAAATGAAAATTGCTGATTAGTGCAGCTTTAATGCTAAAACAGTGTAGCTGTATGTAGGAAAAAAAGATTGCTGTCAGTTACACAGCAATATAGCTACAGTTTACCAACATTAGCCACCACACGCGAATGGTAGCACTGTAGCAGAAAAACCCAAGTACACTAAGCAAGGGTGTGTTTTTTTAATTGTAAGAGGAAGATATTATTTAGTCTTTCAACAGTTACATGGTCTCGTTTTAAATCAGTGGTGCACAAATGCACTATTAAAAACGTCCTACAATTAATGCAATATTTGTATTGAAAGAGTATCATATGGGTCCCAGAATAAAAAAAAATACACATAATGAATGGGATGTTAAATTGGTTGAGATTATTTTAGAGACCGTAGAATTGTCAATCTGGATTACGGTCAGATTATTACAATCTGACTGTCCCAAACACCCTATTCAAATAGGGTTCAGATTGAGACTGAGTCTGAGACTGACTGAGATTGAGTCATTATCTTGACTTTCACTCACTTAACTTTTGAACAGGAGGACTGAAAGTTTCACCACGGACTTCAATGGCTAAATGAAGTGTGTCCCAACGCATTTGTTGGAAATGGTTTCATTAAATAACATATTGACACTTCTGTGATAAACAGCAGTTTCGTTTTAGTTTAAATTGAAATATGAATGTGTTCTTATGTGTCAAGTATGTTATACACAGTGCTGAGGTGAATTTCCTGGTGCATTTCCTTGTACGTGTGCAACCTAGAACTGAAAGAGGAAGCTCGTATTTACTGTATTTTCCACAGAGCTTGGAGGCAGCATTCATGCAGCATAATTTATGCAAACTGTGCATCCCTGTCTTCTGATTGGCTGAGCGAACGAACGTGTTCTTGCATTGGGTACCGTTGTCTTGGCCACGTCCCTGAGCCACGTCGCGCTTTGCTCGCCATTTTCCCATCTTCTGAAGCCAGAAACAGTCTATTTTAGTGTCACGGTGTCATTCAACACCGTCAGATCGCTAATTAATCGTTACCGCAGACAAACCGAGCTCTTTATAGAGTCTTAAATCGGGTTACCTCTGCTGGAGCTCCCACAAACATGAACGTTTTCAGGCTAACCGGGGATCTCTCCCACCTAGCAGCCATCATCATCCTGCTGCTAAAAATATGGAAAACCAGGTCCTGTGCCGGTAAGTAAGTCCGTCGTGTACCTTTACAGTTTGTACGACCTCCCGTTTTGCACAGAAGGCGTCTTGTCGTCTTAACTGGACGAGGAAAAATAGTCTCTGCTGTGAAACTTCTTCTTCTGTCACGTTAGACGGAGCTTGTTAGCCAGTTCTCGGCTAGCGTTAGCCAGCTGGCTAGCAACACTGACGTCAGCTAGCCATCATTTCTGGCACTCGCTGTCATAACCACGGCGAACCATGGTGCGACGTGAAACTTGATAAATACTCATGTTGGGAAGAAAATATGTAACGCCATCCATAAAGTGCTAGCTAACGTTAGATAGCAGCAGCTGCCTTGCTAGCTAACGTTAGCCCTGACAGTGCAGCGGGCCCCGCATTAACGTCAGGTAGGGACAAGGGGGCCCCAGAGGGCCACAGCAGTTGTTAGTTTGGCATGTTGGGCCTCGTCCTTTCAATTGTCAGGGGGGGGGGGCTGTGCTAGCTTCACGTTTCACGTCGCCCCCTGTTCTTCCCATACGTTGGGTTAGCCCAGTGCGACCTCTCTGACGTGGCAGCACCGACAGCTCACAAGTTGGAGATGCAAAGTTAGTGACTGAATAGTGGTTGGCTAAATGATCGTACGGTGGGACTTTGCTGCGTTGTCCTGCTGCTCCTCCGATGGTCAAAGGTTAGGGTCGTATCACTGCAAGACAGACAGTCCACCTCCGAGTTATGTCACTGCTGCTGTTTGCTTGAGGTTAAACCAGATACCTCTGCACGTGCAAGTCAATCTTCTAAACGGCTGCATATCTGATCTATTATAAGTAGACTATGTCATGTCCCCGCCATCCCAGTCTGACAGTTGGTGTGAATGAATGAAGCGTGTTGTCAACACACTAGATACACAGAGGCTTGGGACAAGTGCAGGTGAGGATGAAGACTGTGGAGTTGCCCTCAGATAGACATCCTCAAACCTACAATACGCGCTGCTTATTAGAGGGGCTACAGTGTGACTTTGTAATATCCAAGCTCCTGAACTAAAGTAGCTAAAACTACCCTTACATGCTAGTGAAACAGAATGGTAAACAAACTATACACTTGCATTTTCGAGTTTCCAATCTCAGTCTTGGCTCTGACATGATGTTTGTGTTATCTGTACAGAGGCTGGCTGCAGTGAACATTGGATTATGAATGAGTAAAATGGTTTCCTCCCGCCGTGGAGATAAAGTGAACAGGTGTATGTTGTTAGAAAGTACTTGAGAACTGTGGCACATTGTGTGAGGTTTGTGGTTTGAAGTGAGTAAATTGAGTTGTATAGAGATGTTGCTGTTTGCTTTAAAATGTCATTGCTAGTAGTTTAAGCCCAACAAACCAAATGTCATTTTGTGTGTTGTGAGCTCTGGCCGCTACCTTTGCAAACAAGAGTACGTTTAAATGCCGAAAGGTTAGATATAAATGGGGTGGCTGTGGCTCAGTGGGTAGAGCGGGTCGTCCCTTTTAACCACAAGGTTGGTACACAGACCCCCTCCTGACTGTATGTTGAAGTGTCCTTGAGTGAGACGCTGAACTCCAAGTTGCTCCCCAGGTGTGTTACAGCAGCCCACTGCTCTTACTGCTTAGGATGGGGTTATATGCAGGAGTATATATAGTAATAAACCTATGTTTACGTAACCATGTTTGAATGCCCTCTGCGGTCTTCCCACAGGCATTTCTGGAAAGAGTCAGGTCCTGTTTGCCTTGGTGTTCACCACTCGCTACCTGGACCTGCTCACCGCCTTCATCTCTTTCTACAACACCACCATGAAGGTGAAACACTCGCACGTTCGCTCCTCACTCTCTTATCCTGCAGCTGAACTCTGCGTGTGTCGTGGCTTGACTAGTACACCAAGCCAGCACGCCTGTGTTTGCTGAAGGATGGCTGTGTAAGATGTCGTGGACTTGTGTGACGTTGCTCCTCCATTTCTATTCGTGACTGTTCAGTACGCACTGGGTGAAGTGATTATCTTACTTGTCGTGCTCTGTCCGTGTCTTTCAGGTCATCTACATCGGGTGCGCGTACGCCACCGTGTACCTGATCTACGCCAAGTTCAAGGCGACTTATGACGGGAACCACGACACGTTCAGAGTGGAGTTCCTGGTCGTCCCCGTTGGCGGCCTGGCTTTCCTGGTTAACCACGACTTCTCTCCCCTGGAGGTCAGCAATACTGTGCAGACACAATGTCTGTAGAGGCAGGAGGATGCGCTTTTTTTTTTTTGGAGTGAGGAGTCTAGAAACGGGTGACTGTGGCTCAGTGGTAGAGCAGGTCGTCCTTCAATCAGAGGAACAGCGGTTCGATCCCCGGCTCCGCTAGTCCATGTCGATGTGTCCTTGGGCAAGACACTTAACCCCAAGTTGCTCACGCAGCTGTGACATATTATATAGTGTATGAATGGGTGAATGATGACATGTAGTGTTAAAGCTTTGAGTGGTCGGAAGACTAGAAAAGCGCTATACAAGTACAGTCCATTTACACGACAGTTAGTCTCAAAGAAAACTAAAAACTGCGCAAATACAACATTTTGGATTTGAAGCCAATACAAGAGGTGAGCTGAAAATCATAGACGAGGCAACATGTAAACACTATTTCTTGCAGAAAGACCTGAAGGGCAAACTTCTCCCATGTGTGCAGGAGTCACTACACTCTCATTCATAAGCTCTCTCTCTCTCTCTCTCTCTCTCTCTCTCTCTCTCTCTGTCTCTCTGTCTCTCTCTGTCTCTCTGTCTCTCTCTGTCTCTCTGTCTGGGTCTGTGTCACCTTCCACTCAGTGGTGAAGTTCGTTAAACCAAATGTATTTGAATTCAGTTGCCACATATCTCAGACATCTGCCTCCCATGATTATTGTTCCCACCAACACTCCGTCTCCCCCTCTGCTTGTTCCAGATTCTGTGGACATTCTCCATCTACTTGGAGTCGGTGGCCATCCTGCCGCAGCTTTTCATGATCAGCAAGACGGGCGAGGCGGAGACCATCACCACCCACTACCTGTTCTTCCTGGGACTCTACAGAGCCCTCTACCTCATCAACTGGATATGGAGGTTCTACTTCGAGGGGTTCTTTGACATGATCGCCATCGTCGCTGGGGTGGTACAGACCATCCTCTACTGCGACTTCTTCTATTTGTATGTAACGAAAGGTGAGTGCCGCTGCGTTCAGGTTTCATTTTTATAAAAGTATTTCTTATTTGCTCTGGTAGTCGGTTAGGTATCAAGCAATACAATTCATAACGATGTTGTCGTTAGTGTATAATCACCTAAAACTAAGAGTGGTTATATTTCCATTAGATTAGATGTATAGCCGTTTATATCTACATGGGGAGTGAGTCCTCTTCTACAGACAAACAGCACATCCTTTATTCTGGTAAACTTCTCTGCTGGCTGAGAGGACGGGATGAGGATTGACTGATACCATCTGATGTCTGTGTTCTTCATTGATGATTATTATCATTTATTAACATCACTCAGGAATGTGATTTATTATATTGACATTTTAGATTAGTTTCCAGTGAGATATTAATAACTTTGCTGTTGTAAACATTACTGTTGCTGCTCTAGAACCATTATTTAGTTTTATTTCAAATTAATTCTATTGCCGTTCTGAATTGATTTGTTTTTAATGTTTTTAAAAAAAGCAAAGACGTGGTCATGAAAAATAACCACGTGTTGATCTGAGCAGCTCCTTGTAGTAATATAATCCTAGCGATGCCTACAAAAACAAAGTGAAGTGCTGCTACATTTAAAATCATTTTGACAAAACAGAGCAATCTAATGTCGACTGACCTCCCCGCGAGTGCTTACAGTGGAAGCAGATGCCCTGATCCGAGGCGAACCCACCAACAGAAACTCCTGGCTCATTCAGCAGCGTTCACCACTACAGCCAAACTCAACTCGTAGGTTTCTGATTTGCGTAATGAAGACAAATAAACCTTCATGAGGACCACCGTGGTTCTCAGACGCGCTTGGAAAGAGGGGGGTACGTTGTTGCTTGCAGTCTCCACCACTCATCATCATCATCATCGCCCTTTATGCCTCCTGGCATGTAGGGCAGCAAATAAAGTCTTCCCCTCCCATCCGTCCTGGGCGAGTCGCTGGATGGTGCCCCATGAGTGGTTGAGGCTCTGCATCGCCTTCTCCACAGTTCTTCTCCATGCGTTTCTTGGTCGGCCTCTTTTTCTTTTCCCTTCTGGTGTCCAATGTGAGGCTGTTCTTGAAATATCAGCAGGGTCTTTTCTCCGCACATGTCATATCCATCTTCTTCTCATTAGGATGGTCTCCATGCATTCTTGTTGGCATTTGTCATACAGTTCTTCATTTGAAAATGTGAAGTATTCGCCTTAAACTCTTGGTGTGGAAGGTTAATGGTCTGTTGAGATCTTGTGTCATTCTCCAGCATTCAAAACCAAACAATAGAGTGGATGAAACACAGCTCTGATGCAATTCAGTTTGGTCTTGATGGTCACCACTGGATGCTGCTAAATCTCACACACTGGTCCTTTTAATATGGCCCCAAACCTGCCAGACAGTCCAGTATTCTAATCATAATATTAAATACTGAATGGAATTTCATATGTTCTGTTCCCAGCATGTAAAAATTAAATGAAATAAGTTTGCAACAGCTCCGCCTCTTTCCAGAAACGATGTCCCAGTTATTCTAGAAAAGAAGTGGCGTCAAAAGTACTAATATCTGTTTCATGAGATAAACACAAAACAGTCCTCCACAAATTCATTTTTTTAAGTTCAGGCTTTTTCGTGAAAAACTGTAGTTTTATCTCTTCAAATTAAAAGCGTGAGAAAGAAACTTCATTCTTTGGTTGAATTGCTCATAGGCAGAGCATTGTCGTGTAATAAAGGGTCGCTAGTTCTAGGCACATAAAACCATAACTGTGTGCATGCAGCGAGAAAATATGCAAATACTAGTATGAACCGATGAGGCTGTTTTCTTGCTCTTATGAATGCTGTCATGTTGTCTCGTTTCAGTGCTGAAAGGAAAGAAGCTGAGTCTGCCGGCTTAAGTGCCACAGAGGAGCGCTTTGCGAGACTCATAGAGGGGGATCTGAGGGGAGGAGGAGAGGAGGAGAGGTAGTGGACACCTCTGACACCCGCCCACACACCCCCGCCCTCCACCACCACCTTCCTCCTCTTCCCCTCCCGCCAGTGTAAGATGCCTGAGACAGAGAGCGATCGGGAGCTGCTGGCTGAGCCTTCTTCTGATCCAGAATCAGCGGGATCAGAACAAACTGCAGAGGCTGCTCCGTGGCCTTTCGGGTTTCTGTTTGATGCATCTTGCCTTAACTTTTTTTTAATAATCTGTATAAAGGAAGAAAAAACAACAAAAAAACACGATTTTTTTCTACAGAAAAATGTGTACGCTGAAGATTTGACACATTGGTGAAAAAGAGCTGAAGATGTAAAATTGCCTTTGATTTGGCGTTGTATGATATTGAAGCGGACTTCTTGTGGTGGGATATTATCGACTCGAGCGTTTGTAATAGTATTTGCAATCGAAATAAATGTGCATTGTTTTTTTTCCTGAATCAATTTGGGGAGGAATTTGTCGAATCCTCATAATTTTGGTGGTCAAATTCTTCATGTTTTGCTTTTCTATTTTTGACCACTCTGCATTTCCATGTATAAAGACTGTCTGTTTTAGTTTCCCGTGCACTTGGTAGAGCAGGAATTCAATGTAGAACATTTAACTCTCTTTCCCACAGAGCCATGTTTTCTTCTAAAGCCTTCAAAATACACTGGTATCAGTTGCTTTTTGTGTGAATGGAAGTAAAGGGTTGGAAATTGTAAATGGCTTTCTTCATTTCAACACCCCTTCTATTACCCAGTGAGGAC